AACTCTACTACGTCACATGATAATCTAATACAAATTAAGAAATCTTAGTTTCGTTTCATTTAATTAAAATGGCGACATGGAAAATACGAAACATTCAAGTACAAATGATCAACATCTTTTTTTATTAATTATTTAGCACAGTTTTAAGAATTTAAAAAGAAAAGAAATATGCATATAAAACTAAATTTAAATATTACTATTAAAGAATGGCCATTTTCATTTTAATTTAGGTTATATTTTTTCAAACCCGGACATTTCTAAAACTATGTTGATAGCGATTTTCAGTGATTTTATTATTTTCTTGAAATGATCATTTATTGCAAATTTCGATGTATTATTTTTAATCATTTTTAAGTATTTTATTCTTATAATCTTAAAATTCTTTAAACAAACTTATCTCGAGGCCATTAAAATAACAAATCACAAATGAAAATAAAAATGCTGCAAATTCTCTTAAAAATAAAAAAAATATTGGTAATTCTAAACAACGAGAACAACATTATAGTATATTTTTTCTGATAGTCTTTTAACTAAATAAAAAATAATCAATCCTTAGCTATAAAAAGTACAAAAATCCAATGACGGTCAATAATTTCCATTCAAATAAAGGAATTATTGCATTCTATTTCAACAAAAACAAAAGTTTATGCATATCTATCCTTCTTTATTCACATTTTATTAAAAATTTCTTATCTAAAGGCATTTATAATGACTGATAGCAATTGCATTGCACTATTTCTGATATAAAAGAAGAAATATTTGTGTATTTTTATGCAATGCGAATATTAAATTTAGTATCTGATCCCTTCAATTCAACATATTTTATGAAATGCAACCAATCCTGATGTACAAAAAGTACTGAAATCAAATTGTGATTCATTATTTCTATCAAAATGAAGATATTATTGCATTCATTTTCAACACCAACAAAAGTTTAAGCCTTATTCTACTTACAATATTAAAATTCTTATAAAAGAAATAATCTTGAAGCCTTTGAAATAACTAGTTACAAATAACATTGCATTATTTTTTAACAAAACAAGAGAAATTGGTAATTTTAAACAATGTGAACAACATTTAAGGATATGTTCTATGATTTTCTTTTACTTTTATGAAAAACAACCAATACTAAACTATGAAAAGTACAAACATCTAATGACAGTCAATAATTTTCATTCAAATAAAGAAATTATTGCATTCTTGTTCAACAAAAACAAAAGTTTATGCTCATTTATTCACATTTAATTAAAAAATACTTATATAAAGGCATTTATAATGACTGATAGCAATTGACGTTGCATTATTTCTGATATAAAAGAAGAAATATTTGTATTTTTAAGCAATGCGAACATTACATTTAGAATCTTTTCCCTTAAATTCAACATATTTTATGAAAAGCAACAAATTCTGAACCATAAAAAGTACAAAAAGCCATAGGCGTTCAATAATTTCCATTAAAAAAGAGACATTATTGCATTCGTATTCAACACAAAACAAAAGTTAAAGTATTAATCTCCTTACATTATCAAAATTCTTACAAAAAAAATCTTATTGGAGGACTTTGAAATAACAAGTTACAAATAACATTGCAATATTTTTTATCAAAAGAAGAAAAATTGGTAATTCTAATCAATGTGAACAACATTTTAGTATAATTTTCTCAGATATTATTTTGATTTTATAAAAAACAACCAATCCTAAACCATAAAAAGTACATAAAGTCATAGGTAGTCAATAATTTAAATTGAAATAGAGGAATTTTGAATTTTTATCAAACAAAAACAAAAGTTTATGTATATTTATCAGTAAATTATTCACATCTTTTACAAAAGAACTTATCTGAATGCATTAGTTATGACTGATTGCAATTGACGTTGAATTATTTCTGATACAAAAGTAGACATATTTATATTTTCAAGCAACACAAACTAAAATTTAGTATCTTTTCCCTGATATTCAGAATATTTTATGAAAAACAACCAATCCTGATGTACAAAAAGAACCAAAATCAAATGATGGTTCATAATTTCTATCAAAATTAAGAAATTATTGCTTTCTTATTTAACAAAAACAAAAGTCTATGCATATTTATCCTTCAATTATTCATATCTTTTACAAAAGAACTTATCTGAATGCATTAGTTATGACTGATTGCAATTGACGTTGAATTATTTCTGATACAAAAGAAGACATATTTATATTTTCAAGCAACACGAACTAAAATTTAGAACCTTTCCCTGAAATTCAGCCTATTTTATGAAAAACAACCAATCCTGATGTACAAAAAGAACCAAAATCAAATGATGGTTCATAATTTCTATCAAAATTAAGAAATTATTGCTTTCTTATCTAACAAAAACAAAAGTTTATGCATATTTATCCTTCAATTATTCATATCTTATATAAAAGTACTTATCTGAATGCATTACTTATGACTGATTGCAATTGACGTTGAATTATTTTTGATATAAAAGAAGAAATATTTGCATATTGAAGCATACTAACAGAAATTTAGTATCTTTTCCCTTGAAATTCAGCCTATTTTATGAAAAACAACCAATCCTGATGTATTAAAAGAACCAAAATCAAATGACGGTTCATAATTTCTATCAAAATAAAGAAATTATTGCATTCTTATCTAACAAAAACAAAAGTTTATGTATATATTCTTCAATGATTCACATTTTATACAAAATTACTTATCTAAAGGCATTTATAATGACTGATTGCAATTGACGTTGCATTTTTTCTGATATAAAAGAAGAAATATTTGCATTTTTAAGCAACGCGAACAAAAATTTAGTATCTTTTCCTTGAAATTCAGCATATTTTATGAAAAACAACCAATCATGATGTACAAGAAGTACCTAAATCAAATGACGGTTTATAATTTCTGTCAAAATAAAGAAATTATTGCATTCGTATTCAACACAAAACAAAAGTTTAAGAATTATTCTCCTTACATTATCAAAATTCTCACAAAAAAAACAAAATCTTATTGGAGGACTTTGAAATAACTAGTTACAAATAACATTGCATATTTTTTATCAAAAGAAGAAAAGAAAAATTGGTAATTTTAATCAATGCAAACAACATTTAAGTCTATTTTCTCAGATATTATTTTGATTTTATAAAAAACAACCAATCCTGAACCATAAAAAGTACAAAAAGCCATAGGTCAATAATTTCCATTAAAAAAGAGAAATAATTGAATTCTTATTTAACAAAAACAAAAGTTTATGTATATTTATCCTTAAATTATTCATATCTTATACAAAAGTACTTAATATCTGAATGCATTAACTTTGACTGATTGCAAATGAAATTGCATTATTTCTGATATAAAAGAAGAAATATTTGCATATTTAAGCAACGCGAACAAAAATTTAGTATCTTTTCCCTGAAATTCAGCCTATTTTATGAAAAACAACCAATCCTGATGTACAAAATGTACCGAAATCAAATGACAGTTCATAATTTCTATCAAAATAAAGAAATTATTTAATTTGTGTTCAACACAAAACAAAAAGTTTATTTTAAGTAAAATTCTCCTTACATTATCAAAATTCGTACAAAAAAAATCTGATAGGAGAACTTTGAAATAACTAGTTACAAATAACATTGCATTATTTTTTATCGAGAGAAGAATAATTGGTAATTTTAAACAATGTGAACAACATTTAAGTATCTTTTCTCAGATATTATTTTGATTTTATAAAAAACAACCAATCCTGAACCATAAAAAGTACAAAAAACCATAGACGTTCCAATATTTTCCATTAAAAAAGAGAAATTATTGAATTCTTATTTAATAAAAACAAAAGTGTATGTATATTTATCCTTAAATTATTCATATCTTATACAAAAGTAATTATCTGAATGCATTAACTATGACTGATTGCAATTGAAGTTGCATTATTTCTGATATAAAAGAAGAAATATTTGCATATTTAAGCAACACGAACAAAAATTTAGTGTATTTTCCCTGAAATTCAGCATATTTATGAAAAACAACCAATCCTGATGTACAAAATGTACCAAAATCAAATGACGGTTCATAATTTCTATCAAAATAAAGAAATTATTTAATTTGTATTCAACACAAAACAAAAGTTTAAGTAAAATTCTCCTTACATTATCAAAATTCTTACAAAAAAAATTTTATGGGAGAACTTTGAAATAACTAGTTACAAATACCATTGCATTATTTTTTATCAAAAGAAGAAAAATTTGTAATTTTAAACAATGCAAACAAACATTTTAGTATATTTTCTCAGATATTATTTTGATTTTATAAAAAACAACCAATCCTGAACCATAAAAAGTACAAAAAACCATAGGCGTTCCAATATTTTCCATTAAAAAAGAGAAATTATTGAATTCCTATTTAATAAAAACAAAAGTGTATGTATATTTATCCTTAAATTATTTATATCTTATACAAAATTAATTATCTGAATGCATTAATTATGACTGATTGCTATTGACGTGCATTATTTCTGATATAAAAGAAGAAATATTTGCATTTTTAAGCAACTCGAACAAAAATTTAGTATCTTTTTCCTGAAATTCAACATATTTTATGAAAAACGACCAATCCTGATGTACAAAAAGTACAAAATAATGAAATGATTGCATCTTTAATCAACACAAATTAAAGTTTAAGTATTTTAATACTTATTTTTTTAAAATTCTATCAAAGAAACTTTTCTTGAGGCCTTTTAAGTTACTAATCAGAAATAACATTGCATTATATGTTATTAGAAGAAGAAATATTGGTAATCTAGAACAAAAATTAAAACAACACTCTAAATTAGGCCAAAATAAATAAATAGTGTGTTTCCGGTTTCCCGACCCTACCTCCGTTTCCGACGCCGACCCTAAACATTTTATTGGTGATATAGAAATAAAAATAAAAAACCCGGATTTTTCGGTCTTTCCGGATCCGATTATTCGTTTAGAATATTATTGATCCTCAAAGCGTTTGATAATATCGACTGATGTGCATAGGTAAAGCGTATCAAGAACCAAGATTTAAAGTAAACAACAGCATGGCTTTTCGACAGCCATGCAGTGTATTGGCCGTCAGATATGCTAAATGCGAACATATGGAGGCTAAAAATATTATGACATCAATACCCGACAATTTTAGTATGATAAACCTTTTTGGGGAACACCATGATGCAGGACCTTTGGACGAAAAGAAACACGAAGTTGACATATTTTGTTCAACTTCGTTAGACCAGAAATCAGAATTATTCCAGGTTGAGAAAAATTTATCTGTTGGTGAACTAACAAACAGTTTTCATGTTAAATGTGTTCATTTTACCTGTAAAATAAAAGAAGATTTTGTAGTGAAAAACGCTCTGGTAAATGTTATTCAGACTTGTGCACAGGATGCAACAAAAACGGCAGTCAATGCCTTTGAAGTAATGATGGCAGGGGGCAGAAAATGTGTATCGAGAAAGAGAAAAAGGTAGGTTCAAAAGAAAAAAAAGCTTTCCCCAGTAGGCAGACATGGTGTATGATTCATGTTCATTTATAAATGAATCTGCCCCAGCACCATGTCAACTTTTATTCTTTAATATTTCTCTGGCTGGTCCTATATTAAACAAATTGATAATATACAAGAAAAGGAAAAAAAATCATGTCATATTTATACCTACAATTTATTTGACAAGTATATTTTATATAAGTCATTACAAGACCACTGCTCCCACGCATACCCTGTGTGTCATTTCAATACATTGGTTTGATCTCGGAGGCTCTACACAACATGCCACATTTTTTTTAAAGATATTCTCATTCAATGGCAAGAAGATATTCAAATTTTGACCCATGAAAAGCATAGAATTTGCATTAAAGTTTATTTTCATATTTCAGTCCGACAGAAAAGTATTCTATATATTAAATAATTGGACACAGGGTGGCACATCAACCAATTGATTTGGAACCTTTTTCCCTGTTGGGTTTTATATTCATTACAACTAGAAAATCTTCTGGAGTACTTAAAATGGATAATAAGCCAAAACAAGATAAATAATTTGCAACTGCTTATATACTAGAGAAGCAGTTCGAGAAATATTTCGCACAATTTTCATACTGCATTTCAACTAAATTATATCAATATTTTTTACAGCTAACTATCACAGCATTTGGCATGTGTATATGAATAAAATCTCCAGAGCAAAGAATTAGTTTTTTGTTATAAAAATGGTGTGTTTTTAATCTTGACGTACCAGTGTATATATTTTCATTTCATTTTTGTAGTGCTGGAATGAAAGAAGGTCTGTCACGAAAAGACGAACTTTACAATAACCTTGTTGATGATTTTGAGTCTAAAGGTTTAAACTTTCCGAAGGCAGTTGCTGATATAGATGGTGCATACATTATTCAGGTATGATTTCGATGCCAGGATTATATTTACAATAGAGAATCTTTTTTGGCAAACTTAACATGAAATTTATATTATCAATCAGCAAATTGTCAGAACTTGTCTTTAATAATAACAAATGAATAAGATAGTTCAAGTACTTTTTCTTTTGCTATATTTGTTCTAAATTAAATGATTAAAAGTATAAACAACAAAAATCCAAACATTTAAATCAGAATGGAAAGTCTATAAAAATGAAATTCAAGTCACCCACAAAACAACTTGGGGACATTTGTCATATTGCTGACTGGGTACAGGAATTTTCAATTGAAAATGGTGGGTTCAACCAGGTTTTATCATGTTTATGGCATTAAACCTGTCTCTTTCTTGAAGTAAAATCGGGAAGCATCTCAACACATAAACATGTACATATTTTTTTTATTTAAATACAAATTAATCATTTATATAGCAGCATCAATAGGTGAGTACACAAATATCTCTGGTGTGCAAGGTGTATACTCTGACATCTGTAGTGTGACTTTTAACATCCTTAAACTATCATCTGAATGCCAAATCAAAAGTAAAACACTTTTTTAGAACCTCAATACTATGCATATACACGTATTATTCAAAAGAAAACATACTAACATGCATATTAAATAATATTATTCTTCTTCTCTGAAAACATACGGACATGCCTAATATTCTCCTCCTTCTCTGAAACTAACTTTTTAACATGGCAGGGGGGATCAGATTGATGATCTTGTTTGATGTAAAATACTTTTTGATTTGGCATTCTTTAAAGGCTTTCTATATATTCTAGCAAATAGTAAAGGCACATTTATAATCTGTATTTGCACCTAATACTTCCACCTTTATAGTATACCTGTATATGCTTGTTTAATACAACTTTTGGTTTATGTTTTAGCATTTTATAATTTTTAGAAAGAATTATCAAGCGTCTGCTACAATTTAAATGTCAAGCCAAAGCTGATCTGTTGGATTCATTTTTTTTTTGCCAAATTAAAATAGCAGTATTTATGATATTTAAAAAAAATGTCTGAGTTGTCTCATTTTTATTTTGAACCGTGCATGTTCTAGATTCAATCCAATATATGAACTTCATCAACTTTTCTACTCTTTTTTAATGCTTTAAATTTTCTTATGCTTTATTGTAGACCCTATGTAATGCACTCTGGTACCTGACAAACCATCATCAAGTAATTGACGATGCTGCACTTAGACGTAAAAATGTTAATCCGATTCCAAGAGTCTTTAGTCAGTACAGTGGTTATGATCAATTTAAGAGAAAAAAATGTAAACAGCTTCCACTTTCTGCTACCAGTCTTTACAGCCACAGCCAGGCACTGTATAGGTTTGCATGGCTATATTATACACTTTCAGTACTACAAATTCATATATTCTGACACAAAAGGGGAATTTTGTCCACTTTTTCAATGTTTAATTTTTTTTACACCTTTTAGAAGTTCTTCAAAACGTTGTGACAATTAAATTCTTAAACTGGTTGTCATTGGCATCATTTCAAAATAGCATATATGAATTTGAAGACATTTATACCTTAATAGTATGTTAATATTGGAAAGCTGTGTCTACTTCCATTTAAAAGCAGATACTGTTAGTCTGGAATCCTAATTTTAATACATAGGAACATCTAAACCAACCATACAAATAATGGTATATGTTTATATGTGGAATATGAGAAGAAAGACTGAAATCTTCAGTGTGGAAATTCTATGGTCATCTGACAACATGAATTTTTAAATCTTTATGGTAGTAGATTTTATGACATTGTAATTGATATTTGGTATGTCATCCAACTGTCCCAATGCTAGATGTAATAGTTAACATTTGTTTGGGACTAATGTTTTAGTGTAGACGGTAGATGCATGCATAGCAAGAAACTTTTACTCAGTCAACACACCAGATTTACTCCACTTATGGTTTTACTATATTCTATTTACTGCTGAAGATAAAATCATAGTTTTCAAGATTCAAAATAAATGAAATTTATTTTAAAATATTTTATTTTCAGTATCTTAATGAAGCCAGTAATAGGAAACAGTCCTCAATGGAAGAAAGAAGGTGAAAACATTAGACAGCTGGCAGACTGTATGAGTGCATACCGAGAATATTTACTGCTACAAAACCAGGTTACTCAAAAGAATCAATCATTGGATCACCCTGTCAGAACTATTGACAAGTTTGCTACTATTGAACATAGGAGAATGACACCTACTGATGTCAAATCATGCTACAAGCTTTTGGATGAAGATGTTAGATCAAAACCTAAGTCTGTTCCAATCTTATTTGATGAAGATAAGCATTTGGACAGACCTTTTGAAGATTCCTTGAAAAGACTTAGATACTTTGAACAATTGCAACTTTCGACACCAGTAGATATTATACGTTTTTGTCCGGGTGGTTCCATCTTGACTACTATTTGCATCGTAAAAGTGAATGCAAATCGTTCTGAATCAGAAATCCTGATAGATGGAGCTAGAATGCTACAAAAGTCAAAAGTACATTTACAGGAATTTCATACAAGAGCCCAAAGATCCTTATTTAAACAGAAACTTCAAAATGTCACCAAAGTGCTTCCTTCTGTGGCAGATCTTATCTACAAGGAACTCACACTGGATGCAGCAACTGTGAATCATCCAGCAACACAAGAAAGGCTTCGTCTCATCTTTCTTGGTGAACAGGGATTATTGGCTGACCTCAGAAATCTCAATGCTGGTAGACCAACTGGTACCTATGATATTTTTTTCGATAAACTGTCTGGAGTCGTTGAGGAAGTGACTGCTGCCGATGATCGTCGCCATAATGTTTCACACCTGTCACAATGGATTTCTCTAGATGAACTCATCAAGATTTCTTCAAAGAAATGCCCTGAAGGAACACAGATCCCTTCAAAGAGTTTAGTTAGGTTACAGTTTGCACCAAAAAATCCATATACTAGGGCAGCATTAAATTTTACTGGAAAGATTCAGGTTCAATACAAGATACAACGACGACAATTACGAAGTGCTCACCCAGATGATCACTATTGTGGTGCTCAACTTAAATATTTTAAGAAGATGGCATCAGAACTTAAAGAACTGGCAGCTGTCTTTTTTTGTGATGATAAAGCCAAGATCCCAGTCGGTTCACCGGGGTGCCCTATATCAACGGGAGTAAGAGGCAAGAAATCTATTGCACCAACATGTTCTACATTTGGAGCGAAAGATCATGACATGAGTATGTCATCAATCACGCCATCTGTGATTTTACAGTGTGAAGTTCCTGTTGATGCTTCCAAGTCTTTTGTGCGTGGAACAGTAACAAATATTGTGAATGATTCAGTCCTTGAAACATCAAACCCTTTTAGACATGCAGCAGCTTTGATAAAAGTGTTCAACAACAGTCCCCAAAACAATGCAAAGATCTTGATGAAATTTACAGATGGGGGTACAGATCAAAGACATACATTAGAAGCAGTCAGATGTGCTTCTATATGTATATTTTACGAACTGAATTTAGATATGATGATACTTGCACGCTGTGCCCCAGGTCAAAGCTGGACAAACCCAGCTGAGCGTATAATGTCTATTTTGAATCTAGCACTCCAGAACTGTGCATTAGAAAGACCATCAGGAGATGATGATACAGAAAGGGAGATTATCAGATGTGGAAGTATGGCATCCTTGAGAACTCTCTGTGAAAAAAAGCAAGATATAAAACAGAAATGGATCGAACTTATTGAACCTGTACAATCCACAGTAAGAAATAGATTCTTGAGATTGTCTCTAAAGGAAAAACCTATGCAAGCAATAGATCCAATCGTTATTGATGAGATAGATATTATACAAAGACATTTGCGAGAACATTTTCCAGACCTTAACTTGCAGAAATTACAGAAAGTGCACACAAAGAAGTGTCAGTCATACATTCAGTGGATTGAAAAACATAGTAGACAGAGACATTATACATTTCAATTACGTAAATGTGATGATGCCAATTGCTGTATTCCTCCAACTTTAAGCAGAGAAAACTTAATGTGGCTTCCTGACCCAGTTATAAACACAACTGATCAGGATCATTATCTGCAATATGAGGAAGTGAAACACCAGGAAACTGAAGAAGATAGACCATCTATGAAAATACAGAAGAAATCTAAGAAAACTGATCAAGTTGTTGAAGAGACCACAGATGAAATAGAAAGATCAACTGCTATTGAGAACAATGAACACAGTGAAATTGTTATTGAATACGAAGATGAAGAACCAGAGTTTGCTGAAAATAAGTTAACAACTGCACAACATGCAAGATCCACTATTGTTTGTGTCGAATGCAACAAGCCAAGAGTGTTGTACTCCAAGCATGTTTTAACAGATAGACAGAAAGTCTCTTTAGTACTTCTTATCAGTGATTTTGAGTATACATGTGGGGCACCTATAACACCGCCACGTCATGTTTTGAAGAAAGTGATAATGCCCAGAGACAATCTTTCATGTGGAAGCCCAGTTGAACTACCATATTTCAGCAGTGACCTGGGACGAAAGGACATTTGTTGTCAATGCGGTATAGCAGAAAGCAATGTTTGTTTGGAGCTGAAGAAAGCATACAAGACTGTTCTTCCTCTTTGCGATGAATGTAAAAACACTGGAAAAACTCCAATTGTTGCAAGACCCTACGGGAAAAAACAATAGAAAAAAATAAAATGTTTTTATAAAATAAAATGTTTTACCTACCTACCCTACCTATTTTTTTGGGGGGTGAAATAGGAAACACACTATTTATTTATTTTGGCCTTAATTAATCCAAACAAAGCTGTATGTATCTTTACTGTTCTACTATTTTAATTTTCATTATCTAACAACAATAAATAGAGTACTTATTTTAAATGATAACATTTTATCGCTTTTTAGTGGTACATAATTAACGAGTAAAGATGTCTTCGTAGAGGTCCGCCTTTATCGACTGTAAAAACTGTGGAGTTCGTTTTACATAAAAATTTTAATGATATACGT